ACTGTTAGTTAAAAGTGTTAGTTAAAAGTGATGCCACACACACAACAGATGTTACACAAAAGAGATTTATTGGATGGAGGTGGAGAGATAGAGAGGAAAAAGAGAGAGAGATGGTGGGGGCCCCAGGAAAGAAAGCAAAGCGGAGAGAGCAAGAGAGGAGAGTAAGAGAGACAAAGTGACAGGTTGTCCTTCTATAGCTTGTGCATGCACAGCTGAACCATGCCTGCCACACACCTGGTGGGCGACACATGATGACATCATAGGTTACTAGGCAATCCAAAAGCAGGCTACCTGTATGCTAACATTCCTCCCCTTTTCCATGGTTAAAAAAGAGGATGTTGGATGCTTCTCATGTAAGGCAGGTTAAAGTGTATAAATGTAGGTTCATTGGAAGCAGCTCCTGGTCACCATGAAAGAGGATAAGAGAGAGAGACGAAAAAGTAAAAGCTCCAAAATGTCCAGATTACATGGTGAGGAGGAGGAGGAGGGGAAGCCCCTGCCCTGGAAAGTTCAGGCTACAGGGTGGAGTTGCCAGCCATGCCCAGCAGCAGACAGGGACTGAGGAATGCTGGGAGAACCTGAAGCTGTTGGTCCTGGGCCTGAAGACACCAAGGAGTCCCACCCAAACACCAAGCTAAGAGCCATAATGCACACTTAGAGGGCCTTGTGCAGACCCATGCAGGCTCTGTGTGAGCCCCGCTGAGGTAATTCAGTGGCCACGTTCTCCTAAGTCCTCCATCCCCTGTGCAAGGATCTGCAGTCTGTGAGGAGAGGGAACAGATGAGGCCTCCAATTTAGACTTCTCCATGTAAAGTCTGCGTGTGGGTCTCTGTATTCGCTCTCCTCTGCTGCAGAGGAAGCTTCTCTGATGATGACCGGACCAGGCGCTGATCTATGAGTATAGCAGAATATCATTAGGAATCATTGTATTGTTTTGTTTTTTTTCAAGACATGGTTTCTCTGTGTAGCCCTGGGTGTCCTGGACTCTCTTTGTAGACCAGGCTGGCCTTGAACTCACAGAAATCTGCCTGCGCCACCACACCTGGCTCTGGTTGTTCTTTGTTTTAAGAGAGTCTTACTGGCTGGCGCTCTCCCCAGGCAAGTCAGCCTGGGCTTTGTAAGAAAGGCAGCTGAATTTGAGCCAGGAAGCATGGGTTTTTCTTGAGTCCTTGCTTGAATTCCTGCCCTGATTTCCCTCAGCGGGACTGTAATCTGGAAGTATAAGCTGAAATAAACCCTTCCCTCAGAAAGAGAGGAGAGAGAGAGAAGCTGACTTAAGCGATGATGTTAGCGTAGCTCCTGCCTGCTGAATGTTTAGTGTGAAGGAAGAGCCTGTGACCTCAGACGTAGGAGTGACCCCGTAGACATGAGTACAACCACCGGCTAGAAGTGCCTTCTCCAGGACTCCTCGTAGGCTCTCGCTCTCGTCGCCATGGTCTCCTTCCACCCGTGGTGTAGCTGTCACTGTTTCTGTCCCCTTAGACCTAGGATCATCTGGGAAGTCTTGAACACCCTGACCCAGGAACTCCATCCCCCCCCCACCTCGAGAGACTGATTCTCTCTAGGATCTTTTGTTTAAAAGTGTCTTTGGTCTTTTATTTAAAAAGCATTCTTCGTGGATGGTCACGTGTTCCACACATGACAGTCTTCCCAGCTGAGGAGCAGTCACACAGTCTAAAACCCAGCATGAGATGTGCCTCGTAGAGACCTCTGCTGAGAAGATGTGGCTGGCTAAGCTGCTCTGGAGCGTGACCAGAGCCGCTGGTATCCTGGTGTCCCTTGTGCACACAACTGTGGGGGCGTGGGCTGTTTTCATCTGGAACCGTGATGGGAAGGCACAGATCACACTGGCCTCAGAGCTGATGGGGCTATTCCCTGGGGCTCTTTATTTCATGGCTCGTTGTTTTTTAAAAAGTAATATGCTCTCGGGCGAATTTTGACTCTCGGTCACTTTTACACACCCATCAATAGCAAGAGGAACAACTGTACCTTGAAATGCTGGTCTTACCTGTGGGACATGCTTTTTCTTTCCAGACTCCTTACTTGATTCCAACACTAAGACCAGTTTCCTTAGAACAGCGTGGGCAGGTCACTAGGAGCTGGACAGAGGATGGCTACAATTCTAAAACAAGTCACAACGTTAGTCCTAGCATAAAAATGGCTGCTGTTGGTGGGCAGGTCCACAGAAGAATCACAGGGTTGCTTTAAGTAGAATTATTAAATAATTGCACACAGATCACTAGACTGTGACGGAGGTGTGCAAAATTGAATATTCTAAATTCCAAACAGAAAGTTAAAATCTTAGGTGTCCTGATTCAGTATGGGGAGTGTGGTAAAGTTCAGCTCAGAGAGAAAAGGATTCTGAGTCCTGGCTCTTCCTATAGATTAGCACACTAATCTCCTCCCAGTGTGTCTGGTGGAACCTCAGCACTTCACAAGAACTGGTTTGCTCAGAGTAAATATGAGATCTACTTTCTGCAGCTCTGTGCCTCTTGGAAAAATTGCTTAACTTTGCCCATCTAATTAATTAAAATCCACTCCATTTCCTAGTATGTAAATGAGGAACTAAGTGACATCCATGGTGCTTTTGTTTGCTTTTCTAGACAGGGTTTCTCTCTGTAGCCCTGGCTGGCCTCAAACTCACAGGGCCCACCTGCCTCTGGCTCCCAAGTGCTGGGATTAAAGGTGTGTGCCACTGCCACCCAGCTTATTCTGGCACTAAGATTCCGAGCCTAGAATTTTCCACATGGCGTTTTCTTGTCTTCTTATAACTATGTGTCTGAATGTATGCCTGTGTCCCCGTGTCCCCACATGAGCACGCATGCTTCACTTAAAGCCAGCAACACAGGACTACGTGCTGGGAACCCTTCATAAGCAGTCCACAGATTTAAAGCTTTGCGGTATGAATAGGCTTGAGCGGACTACAAAGACCAAGTAGGAATGATTTGTTGCTTAAGTTCTCTGCAGTCCCTACAGATGCGCATGGTAGATGGGCTCGGTTTGTTTGTTTTTGAGTTTCCCTTGGATGTTCACTTCTCAAATGCATTTAATCACAAAGATTTTTAAAGTATCTCAGCTTAGTCGCTTACTAGCTTTTAAAGTGTTATCAATCTTTCAATTCCACTTCTTCACTTACAAAATAGATAAGGTAGCCGGCCTCCCTCATGCTTCAGTGGGCACACAATTATTCAGGAACCTGTAGCCAGCATAACTGTCAGGGTGAAATTTGTCTTTGTAGCGTTTCACACTCTGGAGAAGATGGCAGTGGGTGACAGGCAGTGATTTTATTGGGTGGGTGAAACACTGTCATTGCCTGCAGCTTCTCCCTAATACTTGACGGCTAGGTGGCAGAGGCCTCACAGCGTGGCTATGGCTTCTCAGAACATTAAACCCGGGGAACTCATTTCAGTGTTGGTATTACTGCTAGTCTCTTCAGCATGTAGTTAAGTATCAGTTTGCCTGAGCTCACAGAGCCATTACTCTAGTACATGCTTTTAGAGGCCTCTTCCCTCCTGCCAGGCCAGAAACAATGCCATGACTGACGAGAATTTCCCATAGAAACTCTCTGTTCTGTTGTATTATTATATTGAGGCATAATAAGCTTAACACAATTTAATATTTTAAGTATGTATTGCAGGGCAGCACAGCCAGGACTAAATGAATACAGTAACATTATAGAAACTATGTCCTAAGTCAGAGCTTATATTGCCGTGTCTAGAAAGGCAGCGTCTGGAAAGCTCACTTCCTCATCAGCAGGCAGTGCTCATGGTGGAGGAGACACCAGCCACAGTTTAGCTTTTCCTGTTTTTCCCTAGACGGGGTCTCACTCTGTAGCCCAGGCTGGCCTGGACCTCACAGAGACGCATTGACTGTGCCTTCCACATTGCTAGGATTAAAAGCATGCGGCACTGGTCCATCTCTCCAGCATCATGGGTCACATGCATGACCCCGGGAAGGGCCTGTCCCAGACAGCGCTGCCTTTCCGCCATCACGTTCCCACTCGGCTGGAGTTAATGTCAGAACAGAAGGAAGGGATTACAAACTGGCCAAGAAAGGCCTGACTCCCTCCCAGATAGGCGTGATCCCAAGGGACTCCCATGGCATGGCACAGGTCTGTTTTGTGACTGGTAATAAAGTTTTGAGAATCCCTGAGTCCCAAGGCCTTGCCCCTGACCTCCCTGAGGACCTCTGCCTTTGCTTAGGAGCCGGTCGCTGTTAACCAGAAAGCAGAAAACACAAGGATGCTAACTTCCAGTGATGCTCATAGAAAGCTGAATTCACCGCTTGGCTCGTTACTAGAAGACTCAGCGGCTCCCCCCACCCAATGGGAGTATGGGTCGCCCCAGCCTCTGTGGCATATACTCTCTGTGAACATGAGCAATAAAATCATGGTGGCAGCATGCCGAGCAATTTAACCTTTTAATAACATTATTAGGAAGTCTTTTTTGCTTGCTTGCTTGCTTGTTTTTTTTTTTTTTTTAATAATTATTTTGCCTCTTAGGGAACATCCATTCTTTTTTCTATAAAATGTAATCCTCTACATTTTCTCTCATATATTTGCACGTTTGTGTCTGTCTTAATTGGAGGTATTTTTAAGGGGCTTGTCCCATTCCTGTCAAGTTTTCTTGCAAAACTGAGCAGTGGTGGTGCACACCTTTAATCTCAGAACTAGGGAAGACAGAGGTAGGTAGATGGCTGTGAGTTCGAGGCCAGCCTGCTCTACAGAGTGAGTCCAGGACAGCCAAGGCTACACAGAGAAACCCTGTCTCAAAACACCAAAATTTTTTTTTCTTGCACATTTTTAGTGCTACCAAATCATGTTGATTTTAAGTAGCAGATGTGTGTACTAGAAGATACGAACATATTATTGTTAATTATATGTATAAACCAATGTTATTTTTTGTATTTGTGATTTCTTGTTTGTTTGTTTTTTAATTAAACATTTCTACTCTGTACAAATCATTCCACTTGTATTTTAACAATTGTGCCTTCTTGTCCAGACACCACGGACTTACTGCTGTGCAAACACCGAAGACTTGGAGGCCGTTATCCACCATGTCCACAGCCTCTACCCTTTGGCCCCTTTTCTGGCAGCAGGAGTGTCAATGGGAGGGTAAGGACTATTCTTTCTTAAATTCCAGAGAGGGCTAACAGTCCTCATGGCATTCTCTCTCTCTCTCTCTCTCTCTCTCTCTCTCTCTCGACTACAAGCAAGGGGAGCAGTTATTTTTATTTATGTGTATGTATGTGTGTGTGTCTGTGTATGCCATGCTGGGATACAGTGACTGAGAAAGCCAAAAGATGGCATTGTACCCCTTTGGGCGTGATTGACAGGAGGGAGCTGTCTGCTGTGAGTGCTGAGAACTGACCTCAGGTCCTCTGGGAAAGCACAAGTGCATCCTGGGGACTGTCTGCATCCCCTTTTGGGAACTGGCAGTTGTCACACTTATATTTGACTGATATCTGACAATCGTAACTGTTAGCATTGTGTACATTTGTGTACATGTGTGTGTACACACTTGTGTGTGTTTTAGAGAGCTTAAATGAGCTTAAATCTACAGTTATTATCTAGTTTTTTTCTTTACTACCCCTCTCACTACTGTCCAAACTTACTTTTTTTGAGACAGAGTTCCTCTGTGTAGCCCTGGCTGTCCTGGAACTCACTAACTCACTCTGTAGCTCTGGCTGGCCTTGAATTCACAGAGATCACCTGCCTCTGCCTCCTGAGTGCTAGGATTAAAGGTGTGTGCTACCACTGCCCAACCCAGACTTACTTTTTAATTTAATTTTTTTATGGTGCTGGGGATTGAACCTGGAATCAATGCATGTTAGGCAAATGCTCCACCACTGAGCCACATACACCTACCCCAAAGTACTGTATTTCTTTTTTCTATAATGAAAAGGTCTCTCTTGCAAATATTTGTTTATCCTATCTGCAGAATAAATTATCAAAAAATAGCAGCCAGGAGGTGGTGCACACCTGTAATCCCAGCACTCAGCGAGGCAGAGGTAGGTGAATCTCTGTAAATTCAAGGTCAGCCTGGTCTACCTTGTGAGTCCAGAACAGCCAAGGCTACACAGAGAAACCCTGTATTGGAAAACAAAAACAAAAAAAGCCAAAACAAATGAACTATTATAGATATTCCTCCTGCCAACCCCTATAAGAGCAATGCTATTTCCCCCTCTTTCGTTAGAATATTTTATGATCCATGTATTTTATTCTACACTATTGGTACCCAGGCACACTAAATGACCATTTGCCTTTATTTTAAAAGCTAATTCTGAGGGTCTGGAGAGAGGTCTCAGCAATCAAGAACATTTGCTGCTCTTATAGGGGACCCAGGGTCAATTCCCAGCACCCACACGGCAACTCACAACCATTTATAACTTCAGGCGATCCTGGTGCCCTCTTGTGGCCTCAACAGGCACTGCAGGTGCAACATACATGCAGGCCAATGCATACATAAAATAAAAGTAAATCACTGCGGTTTGGTTTGGTCTTAGTTGTTTGTTTGTGTGTTTGTTTTTAACATTTAAAGCAGAAAATATTTTTCTTAACTTTGTATTCTGGATGTATTCATGGATGGATGGATCTAACCATCTCTGTTTTCAGAACATCTTACAAGTATGTGTGCTGGAAAAGGAAAGGCCTCCATGAACTACCGACTCTGAAGAGAGGGTTCTACCCAGAGTTTTTCAGATTCTGATAAAGAATCCATCTCTTACATTAGCATGGAAGGTCTGACCTGACCTAGTAGAGGAAGCATTCTGAGTCAGTGTGGAAAATAGCGGAATCTCCAAGTTGTGCCAAACTGTGCAGAATTTAGCATCTCCGCCCATTAGCCTACAGTGTGAACCTGAGAAGACAGATGAGGGCTGAACTTTTCCCCTTCATCGTAGAAATTCGTGACTTTTTTTTTTTTTTTTCAAGGCTAGCCCCTACATAGAGGCCCCAATTGTCTATTCAGACGCTCCTGGCAAGGCCTATTCATCCAGCAGCGAAACCCCAGGGCCCAAAGGCGGGGGCCGACCGTCAGATTAGCCCATCCAGCCAGTGGAATATTAATGTCTTGTAAATTACTTGAAGCAATCGCCCCTTCTAGTTGCCTGGCTGTGATACGCCCCAAGTGGGTGCACTTCCTTTTCTTTAGAGATGCAGCTAACGAAAGCAGGAGTTTTGTGCCCAGTGAGCCATGGACTGGGGTCATCCCAGGGCCCGGGCCAAGTGCGGGCTCCCAGCCAGAGCTGAGTTAGCTCAAGACGCTCTGTGGCTCTGCATCCAGAGTCCAGCTCCCCAGTGAGCAGGGAAATGCTTTTTACATAAGGAGAATATTCCAAACACAGAAATAAGAGTAAAACAATAATAAGAGTAAATACATAAATAAGAGTATTATTAGTTAATAACTATTAATTAATAAATAAGAGTAAAAATAAAACAGAAAGTAAGAGTAGTCCCTGCATAGTGTCACTGCCCAGCGTCAGTAGTTCAGCCCGAGAGTTTATCACTATCACCCCCTTCTCCAGTTCATTCCCAATTCTGATTATTACTGCCTAAATCTCAGTAATCGTCGTATTATTTCTGATGAGCAGAGCACATGCCTAAAACATGGGAGGACCTGGGTTCAGCTCCTAGCACCTCAGAACCAGAAATCAGTCTGCGGGAAGGGTGGTAGCAGCTCTCCCCGCCTCAGTGCCTGGGGAAGCCTCTGTCCCGGGACAGTCGGTTAGGCGGGTTGTGGAACGGGGCGATGGGATGGGCTCTTGCTTAGTCTACATATGCGGCAACCTCATATCACAGCGCCTCTCGGAGTGCTCAGAAGAAAGCCAGCACTTAATACTTCAGTTGGCAGCTCTAAATGGAAGAGCTGTCTCTTTTCTACAGCCATGATGCTCTTCCACGGCAGAGCAAGATTAACACTGCTTCTTCAGTATCGCTAAATACTGAGTGTTCACATTTCCCCGGTTATTTAATTTTATAGTTTGATAGTGCAGATGTCAAATAAAATGCATTCTTTGGTGTCTAAACCCCGTAACCCATGAGTTCTTTCTCCATCTAGTTGTTTGGTTTTGTTTTTTTTTTTTTAGGAGGGGGGAGGATTGGTTTGTTGGGTTTTTTGTTTTGTTTGTTTGTTTTTCAAGACAGGGTTTCTCTATGTAGCCCTGGCTGTCCCAGCCTCTGTAGACCAGGCTGGCCTTGCCCCCTGCCTCTGCCTCCTGACTGTGGGATTAAAGGTGTGCACCACTGGGGTTGGGGATCCAGCTCAGTGGTAGAGTGTTTGCCCAGCAAGCACAAAGCCCTGGGTTCACTCTGGGGGGGGGGGGCCTGTACGTCCACCGCCAAGCCATCTAGTTCCTTTATTCCCACAGTGCTCCCCCCACCGGTGAGAGGAGGGGTCCTTCTTTCAAGGTAAACTAATAACCTTTGGGTACAGTACTTTGACACTATTTTACTCCTGAGTAATAACCAGGAACTGCCTCTGAAGATTTGGCTGTGCCTATCTCAGGGACTTTCTCCTTTTTAGAACCTTCCCGGCTGTTCTGGTTTGTGTACTTTGCCAGCCTCTGGCCGCTACCTGACCTCCAGCTGAAGTGTAAAGTTGTCCCATGAGAACCACAGGCTGAACCCCGAGCACGACAGAAAACATCCTCCAAGCAGCGTTAGGGACCACAGCACTGCATGCAAGTCCTACAGTTATCCTGAAGGGTCATTTCCAGGTCACACGTGATGGAGCACATCTGTCACTCTAGACTTCCCAGCGACTGAGGCAGGAGGGTTGGAAGTTCCAGGCCAGCCTGGGCTAAAAAGAGTGAAATCCTGTCTCAAGAAAACAGTCATTATCTGGGCTGCAGGACGCTTCAGGAGCTGAGGGTGCTTGCTGCCATGCGTCATGGCCTGAGTTCTGGTTTGTCTCACGGTTCGGCTGAGTGCAGTGTGAGCAAGCACATGGGTCAGACACGTGCACACTGTCCTCCCAGACAGAGGCAGAGGTGGGGAACACGAGGCCTGCTTTAGGGAAGGGAAAAAGTGCTTTGAAATGCAAATACAACACGGGCAGGCCACACGTCGCTGGTCGCTGGGACCCGAGTCCGACCCCCTGGACCCGCAGGGTGGAGGGTGCGAACTGACTGGAAAGTAGCCCTCTGACGTCCATTCACACTGTGCACGTGCACAGGAAATAATACGTGTAAAAAATCCTAGAGAATATGAGTGTGAGGAAGGACCAAAGGTAGCCTCTCCACAGGGCAGGACTTAAAGCACGATCGCGGTGATGATGCAGAGAGGTCACGGTGATGATGCGGGCCCCACTCTCGGGAAGCTAAGACAGAAGAGTCTGGGGCTCAGGGTTGGAGTGTGCGCTCAGGGTCGGTTGGGCTACCTGAGACCTTACCTCAAAAAACAGAACAGCTGAGGAGGTGTCATCAAAGGCGTGAGCAGTCACAGCCTTCTGCTTCTCCCGCTTTAGAATGCTGCTTCTAAATTACCTGGGAAAAATCGGCTCCAAAACGCCTTTGATGGCAGCGGCAACATTCTCAGTTGGCTGGAACACTTTCGCTTGCTCGGAGTCGCTGGAGAAGCCCCTGAACTGGCTGCTTTTTAATTACTACCTGACAACGTGCCTCCAATCTTCCGTGAAGAAGTAAGTCATCTCTAAGCCTTCTGTTACCAAACATTTCAGATTGCGTAACGCAGCAGTATGAAACCTCAGAGTGTAGCACTACAGGCTGTGTTTCTGTTTATGTAGTCTATTACTGTACCAAAACATCTCTGCATTATGAATGGACAGCAAAACTTACAAGTTGAAAATGTGGATAAAACTAATGAAGCATCCTGTACGTCTGCTCCCCACGTCCACCCCCGCTTTGAAGGTTGCTATTCCGAATTATTCTGAAAACTACAGCATTAGAATGGAGTGTGTTTGGTGATACGTTTGGGCTGTTCCCTTAGATTTGTTGGTTGATCTTTCCCAAACCTAATTCTCAGGTGATGTGTTAAGAGTCTCCTCTGCAGCTGGGCGCGGTGGCATACCCCTTTCATCCCAGCACGGAGGAGATAGAGGCAGGCAGATCTCTGAGGTCAGAGCTAGCCTGGCCTAAAGAGTGAGCTCCAGGACAGCCTGGGCTACACAGAGAGGCCCTGTGTCCTACGGTTTTATTGCTGTGAATTTATTTAAATTCATTTTGTGCGCATTGGTGCGACCCTGTCAGATCTCTGGAACTGGAGTTACAGACAGTTGTGAGCTGCTGTGTGGGTGCTGGGGATTGAACCCAGGTCCTCTGGAAGAGCAGACAGTGCTCTTAACCGCTGAGCCATCTCTCCAGCCCCTGCAACAACTCTTATAAAGGAAAACATTTAGTTGGAACTGGCTTACAGTTCAGAGGTTTAGTCCATTATCATCATGATGGGAAGTGTGCAGGCAGACATGGTGCCGGAGGAGGAGCTAAGAGCTCTGCTTCTGGATCCACAGGCACAGAAAAAGAGACTGCGAGCCAACTAAAGCTGGCTTGAGCTGCTGAGACCTCCAAGCCCGCCCCTACAGTGACGCCCTTCCTCTAGCAAGGCCACGCCCACTCCAGGAAAGCCACGCCTCCTAATAGTGCCGCCCCTATGGGCCAAACATCAAACACATGAGTCTGTGGGGCCATTCCTATTCAATCCACCACAACACAAAAACACCAAACCAACAAGAGTGTCCCGTGTTGAATAATACAGTTGAATAATACAGAATTTCCTTAAGCAAATTCTCACGAGCATGGCGTGTTTTAGAAAAGGGAGGGTATGAGCTGGAAAGATGGCTCAGCAGGTAAAGGTGCCTGCCATCAAGCCTAACGAGTTTAGTTCCCATGATCTACAGGGGAGAGAACAGAGTCCCTTACCAGGACCTTTGACCTCTACACACATACCGCCATACACACATAAACACAAAATAAATCTTTTTTTTTTTTTAATTTTAAGAAAACTTATTCAAAACAATAGAGTGCAGTTCACTTGCATAGTCATAACTTATGTTTCGTTTGTTTGTTTTTCTCTTTCTAGAGACAGGGTTTCTCTGTGTAGCCTTAACTGTCCTGGACTCGCTTTGTAGACCAGGCTGGCCTAGAACTTACAGAGATCCGCCTGCCTCTGCCTCGGGTGATGGGATTACAGGCGTGCACCATTTTGCCTGGCTACCTCATGGTTCTTATATTTCCAAAATAATGTCTTTGCATCCATTTTTCTGGAATTGTATATCTTCTGTCAGTGAAACCAGCTTGGGAGCACAGAACATCAAGATGTTTCTATTCTTGTTTGTTTGTTCGGTGCTGGGGACTGAATCCAGGATCTCACCCATGCTGGGCACATACTCAGTTACTGTGGTCCCCCCAACAGCCATTCCATGCATATTTCAGTGAATGGAAAATGTAAACTCTAAAAAGGGTATAATTAATGTATATGTGTGTGTGATTTCATGAAAATTACTATCCTGAAAATTGTTATCTAACACTGGATTAAATTTACCTACTGTTTAGTTACAAATATTGATTATAATTACTATTGCTAAAAATACCATAGCCGTGGTTACTGACATGGTCATAGTGAAATGGGAATAGTGGCAAGAAAAATGAAGGCTGTTTGGATTACCGTATTAGTTGTGGCTCAGTGGTAGGACGTGTGTGTACCGTGTCCAGTGTCCTCGGTCCAGCCCTATCTCTGCCAAGAGACAGACATATATTGGCCACAGAAGAAAAGTGACCAGGGCCAGTGTAGTTACTGCATGCCTTCAAGGCTGGCCTGTTCAACAGAGTGAGGCTGCCTGCCTAGAACCCACGTGGAGCCAGATGTGCAAGTCTGTGTCCCAGCTCCCTGGGAAGATGAGAGACAGAAGTCTAGCCTGGCGCATGCCGCGGTGAACAGTACAGGACCAGTCTGGTGTACACAGTGGCACACAGTAAGAGGTCTTGTCTCAAACAGGTGAAAAAAATGGGAGCCTACACCAAAGTCTTCCTCTAAGCTCAACGTGTCACCATAGCATGTCACACACACACACACACACACACACACACACACACACACACACACACAC